CAGGGAGGATGGAGTGGGGGGACACAGGTGGGGGACACCGCCGGGGATGGGGACGTGCCAGCCTCACCTGCCGAGGGGAAGGTGTCAAGCTGCGGCAGCTGGGTGCAGCTCTACACCCTGCAGCGGTCGGGGCGGCTCAACCCCCTCAGCTACAGCCACGACGGGTCCCTGAGTGTGGGGACAGGGACACCCGGGAGGGGACCGCTGCCATCGCTGCAGGGACCCCCCCCCCGCCAGCCCCCGGGGTCCCCAACCACAGCCTCTGTCCCCTTGTGACCATCCCCTGGGTCCCAGTTCCTCCGTGACCATCCTCGAGGTCCCTGTCATCGCCAACCCATCCCATAATGTCCCTAAAGACCCCCTGTCTGTCCTCGTCCCCCCCCCGCCACCATCCCTCTCCCCGGGACCCCTGCCACCCACCCCAGTGTCCCATCAGCCGTCCCCCCCTCCCCGCTCACCCCCATCACCATCTCCTCCACCCGGACCACCCCCATGGTGTCCCCATCCACCCCTGGTGACGGTACCCAGGGTCCCCTCGGTGGCCATGCCCAGTGTCCCCCCACCCACAGTGGGCCACCCTCCCCGACGTCCTGGTCCTGTGAGTGGGGGACCCACGGCTTGGAGCTGGGGGGACGGACACAGGACACAGCAGGGTGCGGTGTGGCTTTTGGGGGTCCCGGTCCCCGTCCCCACAGGTGCCCCTTGAGCCCGGGGGGGCAAAGCTGTCACCATCCAGACCCTCTCCTGGGCCTTCTGCGGGGACAACGGCCACCTCGTGGCGTCCTTGTATCCCCCCCACCCCAATAAACCTCTCCTCGCCCCCCCGTCTCCCTGCCTCTGCTTGTGGGGGGCGCAGGGGAAGGTGACACTGCTGTTGTCCCCCCACCCTGTGGGTGCTGGGACCCCATGGGTGCTTGGCCACATCAGGGTGGTGGGAAGCCGTGGGGCTGTGGCTTGGGGGGGGGGGTGTCCCCCAAGCCCCCCACCCTGGAGCCCATGGCTGCCTGATGGGGTGCGACATGGGCTTTGGGGTGAGCATGTTCCTGGTGGGTGCATGGCTGCGTGTGCACGGGGCTGCACACATGTCCCTAGCGTGTCTCTGTGGCTGCACACGTGTCCCTAGTGTGTCTTTGTCACTGTACACATGACCCCAGCACGGCTGTGTGGCTGCACACATGTCCCTAGCATGACTGTGTCACCGCACGCATGTCCTTAGCATGTCTGTGCGGCCGTGCACGTGTCCCCAGTGCGTCTGGGGCTGCACAAGACCCCCATGCGTGCACGTCTTAGTGTCCCAGTGCATCCTCAGCACACGCGTGTCCCTGGCGTGTCCCCAGCCAGCACCCGGCTGCATGTGCCTGTCCCCGCGTGTCCACGTCCCCAGTGGGTCCCAGCAGCCGCGTGTGCCCTTACCGTGCCGCGTCCCCGGCGTGTCCCCAACCCGTCCCCCTCGTCCGCCCCTGCCAGCTCCCGCCTGTCTCCCCACCGCGTCCCCACTCGTCGCGGGGCTGCCGGAGGCGGCGGGTACGGGCGTGCCGGGCCGTGCCGTCCGACGGGCTCCGGCGTGTCCCGACGCGCCGACGGGGCCGGGCACCGCCACGCCGCCCCGGTGCTCCCTGGGTTCCCAGGCCCAACCCTGCGCCCGCCGGCGGGCGCCCATGCCAGCCCCACCGGGGTGACGCCAACCCCACCGAGGTGACGCCAGCCAGGAAGCGTGGCCCGGCGGGGCCGGATGAACCGAAGGGAGAACGATGCCAAACGGGGCCGAGCCCCGAGCTGAGCCATGACCCCGGGGACCCGGCGGGACCCTGCCAGCACCTAAGGGTGCCATGACCCCCCCCCGGCAGCAGGTGCTGGCCGCCATCCGGGCGGAGGTGAAGCGGCACGAAGGGGCCAAGAAACACGTCAATAAGTTGATTCGGTTGGTGGAGACGGTGCCGGATCCGCGGCTCAGGGCCAACCTCACCGCGTCCCTCTGCGTGGTGCAAGGTACGGGCAGCGCCCGGGGGTCCGGCAGGGAGTGGGTGGATGGGGGTGGGAGAGAGGGATGGAGGGGCGGGCAGGGGGACGGACAGAGGGATGGATGGGCGGGAGGATGGATGGACGGGAGGATGGATGGATGGACAAGTGGAGGGATGGAGGGATGGATGGACGGAAGGATGGATGGACAGAAGGGTGGATGGGCAGATGGATGGACGGGTGGATGGGCAGATGGAGGGATGATGGAGGGACGGACGGACAGACACCCAGTGATGCACACGGTGGTGGTCCCTACAGCCACGCTGGCAGTGCCTGTCCCAGCTCAGGGGGGTCCCTGGGCTCCCCCCCTGCCTTCCAACAGGGCCGCCCCCAAACCGTGGGTCACCAGTGCCCAGCACCCCAGTGCGGCCGAGGCCCAATCCTGCCCAGTGCCATACTGGGGGCCCAGCTGGGCCCAGTAGCACCGTCCACCTCCATGGGGACCCATGTGGGGACACGGAGGGGGGCACAAGGAACTGCTGTGGGGGGGGTTGGGGGTCGCTGGCCCCCTTTTGCCGCAGCTGTGCCGTCGGGGTGGTTTCCGGTGCAACAGCCCCAGTGCTGCGGTCGGTGACGTGGGCCGTTTCCTCACCTCCGGCGGTCGCCGACGGGGGGCCCTGCTGC